CTGAGGGGCCAAGGTCAAACAGCCCGCTGGGAGATTTACCCAAAAGGTAATGAGGCTGCACACCAGAGCCCCTCGCTTGCTCTGGCCTCTTACAGGGTTCTGGGAGCAGCCCCAGAAATTCTGCATTTATTTTATTTTATTGTTTTTGTTTGTTTGTTTGTTTGTTTTTGAGACAGAGTCTCACTGTGTCGCCCTCAGTAGAGTGCTGTGGCATCACAGCTCAAAGCAACCTCAAACTCTTGGGCTTATGTGATTCTCTTGCCTCAGCCTCCCAAGTAGCTGGGACTACAGGCACCTGCCACAACACCTGGCTATTTTTGTTGTTGTTGTAGTTGATTAGCTGGCCCCGGGCCAGGTTCGAACTCGCCACCATCAGTGTATGTGGCTGGTGCCATAGACGCTGTGCTATGGGAGCTGAACCTGCATTTCTATATTTGTATGGGGTTTTTTTTTGGGGGGGGTTCTTTGTTTAGAGATAGAGTCTCACTTTGTCATCCTCTGTAGCGAGCTCTGGTGTCACAGCTCACAGCAAACTCCAGCTCTTGGACTTAGGTGATTCTTTTGCCTCAGCCTCCCAAGTAGCTGGGACTACAGGTGCCCACCACAACGCCCAGCTATTTTTTTGTTGCATTTTGGCTGGGGCCAGGTTTGAACCCACTGCCCTCAGTATATGGGGCCAGCACCCTACTCACTGAGCCACAGGCACCACTCTCTTTATTTGTATGTTTATATTCTTAAAGATGACTGCAAAATCATAAAAACCTCAGACCCCACAAAACCAGTGTCTGGGGAGCCAGCTGATCACAACTTCACCTAGTTGGTGTTTGAACTAGCAAACACCATTTACTGCATGCCTCTCACCCTCACCTAAAAAAATCCTCTGTAGCTCCTGGGAATTCTTAATCCCATTGGCAGTTACACTTGGAAAAGTAAGAAAGTCAGTCACCTTTCTTAGGACCTTGGTTTGGTCTGAAGCGCCATAGATCAGTGAGATAGTTGCCCCAAGACTGACCGTTTTGTCCCCTGAAGTTTTCCCAGTCCTCAGCGTTTACTAAATGACTGTCTTGTATAGCCTCCCCCAAAACATATATCCCCTTCTTTGAGTTTCTCCTGCTTTAGCTACTAAGGCACCGTTAAAGCCACAGTCCAGACAACCCAACTCTGATACATAATGAGAATCTTTTTATTGTTGTTGAGATGGAGTCACTCCACTGTGTCGCCCTTGGTAGAGTGTCGTGGTGTCACAGCTCACAGCAACCTCAAACTCGTGGGCTTTAGTGATTCTCTTGCCTCAGCCTCCCAAGTAACTGGGACGACAGGCGCTCACCACAACACCTGGCTATTTTTGTTTCAGTTGTCATTGTTGTTTAGCTGGCCCGGGCTGGGTTTGAACACACCAACCTTGGTGTATGTGGCTGGTGCCATTACCACTGTGCTATGGGCACCGAGCCGTGATGAGAATCTTTGTACTTAAGAGTGCTATGACTTTGCTCCATCCCCACCTGTGCTTAGAGTAGCACTCTCGTCCTTTTTAGGGCTGTGCTGACCCTACCAATATATCCACAGATTTGACAAGTGCTTAATCCCTGGCAGCACCACCTAGCACCTCCTGGCTGTGTAACTCACTCAAAGCCACTTGAGATGAAAGGTCTCCCAGAAGGCCTGGTGTCCTTACTATGGTCCCAGAACTCTTGTACCCTGGCCATACCCTGTTATGTCCTTATTTTCTCCCTTAGTCCTGGGGAAACAGCCATGATCAGTCTGAGCAGACCATCCTGGAGGAGCATCCTACCTGATAAGAACCCAGGGACAGCTCAGAATTCTGACAAATAAATTGAAAAGGGCCTTCTCAACCTCTGTAAGGCCTCAATGAACACATAGGCCCACATCCTCTAGTTTCCTTTGGTGTGGAGTATAAAGTGAGGTCGCTCTTCCCACTGCTCAGCTGATGCTGCTTTATGTTAGCATGTGTGTTTTCACTCTGTTTATGAACAGATACCCTGAGCTAGGTCACTGTCTGTCGAGATTGAAGTGAGAATTTTAAGTGGGCCTGTGGTGCTGCAAGAAATGTGGCCATAAGTGTTTGTTTTATCTCCTTGTTGCTACTTCTGAGCTAGCACTGGCTTTATCTTGGAAACATGGAAGATGGTTCTAGCACCTAAATACAGAATATGGTCCTTTCGTAGGTTGTCCTTTTTAGGACAAGCACTACCCTGGTAACTCATGCTTTCATAAAGCTCTACAGTTCACATAGGCATTTTCAAGTCATAATCTCAGCCCTTGCTCAACAGGCTCTATGAGGTAGGAAGTAGGAATCCAGCTTCCTTGAGGATTCTGAAGCTTTGTGAGGGGCTGGGGGTGTGAAATGATTTACACAAAGACACACAGCTGGAAAGTAGCAGATCTAGGACTAGAACTCACCTGGGCTCCAAACCACAGACTCTTCCCTGTTGGAAAGGACTGGACTAATGGCAGTTATTAAAATAAACACAAATCTGGCTGGGTGCCTGTGGCTCAAGTAGCTAAGGTGCCAGCCACAAACACCTAAGGTGGCAAGTTCGAATCCAGCCCGGGCCCGCCAAACAAAAATGACAGCTGCAACCAAAAAATAGCTGGGTGCTGTGGCGGGCATCTGTAGTCCCAGCTACTTGGGAGGCTAAGGCAGGAGACTCGCTTGAGCCCAGGAGTTGGAGGTTGCTGTGAGCTGTAATGCCATAGCACTCTACCCAGGGGGATAGCTCTGAGGCTCTGTCTCAAAAAAAAAATAAAATAAAATAAAAATAAATAAATACAAATCTTTTATTAAAAGAGATGCTAATACCATGGGTGAAATCATTTATTATTGCTAATTATCCTCTGCTATAGTTGGGTAATGTCATCTCGCTGCTGTTGTTTGCCATCTCCCTAGAGTGAAAAGAATACTTTTCTCTTAAAAAATTAATCAGTCCAAGTTTTCAGGCCCAGAGGAAGCTCTCTTGTAGCCTCCTCATTCAGTAGTCCTCCGTAGGAAGAGTGATCTTGTGGATAAATTCATCATACTTCACTTTGCCATTCGGTTCGATATCTGCTTCCCTAAAAAGATCATCCACTGCAATAAATCACATCAATTTTTCAGTTTAGCGTTAATGTTGGATTATAAAACAGCAAGTTATTTGGGGATCGAGGGTTCCCATATTCTCAAAAACTAGGAAGTAAACAATTTAACAGAAAAGGGACAACCTACCACCTACCCTCTGGAGACCACTGATTCAATTTTGAGCTAATCAGGTTTTCTGCAAGGGCAGGAAGTAGGGAGATATACTGCTTTTTGTTAAAACTTTGTTATTTATTTTAAAGAAAATATCTGACCCTGTACCTACATTTCTAGTTCTAGAAACCTTTGGCTTGGGCTTTTTCCCTTTTGCAACCCCACCCCCACCTCCCAGCAGAACAGACATCCTTGGTTGGCAGCTCCATCCTGGGCTGCACCAGTCCAGGCGTTGGCCTGCCCCTCATATGCCTGCTCTCTCTTCCAAATTGGCATTCCTCCCTGCCCTGCCCCCACACTGGAGAGAGGACTTAGTGACAAGTGGTGTCTGCTACCATTACCTCCTTTAAAAAGTGTGTTTTGGGAGTGGGGGTTTTATGAGAGAAATTATAATAAATCCAACTGTGTTGAAAGCTCCAAGCATACAAAACTGCCATTGTTGTTCTACATTGCTAAAAAAAAAAAAAAAAGAAAGAAAGAAAAACCATTTCACTTGCTTGTTTCTTCTGGTTCTAGATTCCTGAGACAAAATACTAGCTTGTCCCAAGCACTGGCAAGAAGAAGCATTTTGGCTTATATTCTCCACAGTGGTTTCTTGAGACCAAACTACCTTTGGCTCTTTGGATTATCCTCACCCTCCTGCAAAAACTTTCTCCCTGCCCTGTGTGTCAGTTCCCAGCCTAGACCCTCTCTACATGTAATGCTCAGTAGTTACAAAATATCCTACAATTTTCTACTCAACCATCCTCAAAAGTATAATTACTATGCTCTGTGCCTCAGCTGATAGTATTGAGTATTTGGGGAATGCTGGGAAGACTAGAATTCATCCCATTTCATGGAGATGCCTCTGCTATAAGCCAGCTGGTTAAAACTGTCCCAGGGACCAAGCCCAACATGAGTGCCATGCCAGCTGCTGCAGCCTCTTCCTGTCCGGGAGAGGAGAGAGGCAGCACTTCACAGGCCTGAGCCCACCTTCTGGGCAGAACCTGTTGTCCAGTGTGTCTCACTTTAGAGTGCTAAAGTCAGGCTGTGGAAGGGAGGCCTCCTGGGTGGCCTTCTGTAGCTACTGCAAAGATGGTTCTTGATAAAACTGGAAATTGTCTTTCAGTCATCCAGGGTAAAGGATTCCTACTTTGTTATCATCTACCTATCTGCACACAGCACACAGGAGGGAAAGTGGTCTCCTTGCTTATCTAGAATACACCAGTTTTGTTTCTTTTCTCTTTTTTTAAGGCAGAACCTCAAGCTGTCGTCCTGGGTATAGTGCCATGGCATCACAGCTCACAGCAACCTCCAACTCTTGGGCTCAAGCGATTCTCTTGCCTCAGCCTCCCAAGCAGCTGGGAATACAGGTGCCCACCACAATGCCCAGCCATTTTTTTGGTTGTAGTTGTCATTGCTATATGGCAGGCCCAGGCTGGATTCGAACCCACCAGCGCTGGTGTATGTGGCTGGCAACTTAGCTGCTTGAGCTACAGGTACAGAGCCTAGAATACACCAGTTTCTTTGAATGTTCCTTTGCTGGTTAAACAAATGAGCAATGTAGGTAAGTTGGGGGCCATGGTGTTGCTTGAGACAGGAATTACTAATCGTAGAATTAAGGCTCTGCTCCCTCTTAGCTAACACTCCACCTGGTACCTGAGGGACCCAACATTGTCCTCAGAGCCTAAAAGGAAAGGACAGCTAGTGTCTTCCCCTGCTAACATGAATACAGCCACAATAAGAGGCAAGAACCTGACAGGAGCAAGCCTGAAAAAAGCAGCGGAAGCTGACTCTGCCTGCTGTAGCGCTATTTTTAAATGCTCTGCTGTGCCTTTGTGACAGCAGATAAAAATCTGAGCAGACTCCTTTGTAGAATGGCTTTTGGAGGGACCTGAGGAATTGCCTACTGAGACATCATTTCCAGAGAAGAAACTGAGGAGGGGGGTGAGAGGTTAAGAAACTCATCTGAGGTCCCCTGGAAAGAGAGAGATACAAGATTCAAACCTAATTTAAACCATAACCTCAAAACCCCTCCAGTGGTTTGCCGTGATATAAGCAGAAGCTGATGGCCAGTACTTACTGAAGCCTTTTTCCTACTGTGGCCAAGCCCAGCACTCATGTCCCAACCTCAGGGAAGGAGGGCACCCTAACTAGAAACTTCAGGCTCTCCATGGGTTGGGGACATGGCCTTTGAGGGCAGAGTGGGGCTGGCCACTGTGATGGGCTCGGCAGGCCCAGTGTGCTGGAAGAACTCAGCAAAGGCCAGCATTGAGGTCCCCTTTCCAACATAGAAGGGGCATTCCCAGGAAAGTTGTGAAGGCATACGGGGCTGCTGGAAGGTGTGAGGCAAGGGCCCCTCGTGGGGTTAGTGACCAGGAGTGCTTCTCCAGCTGTCCCTGCAAAGGCCCTCATGGCACCCCCTTCTGGAAAAGCTCTTAGAGCTGACTAATTTGGCAGGAAAAGGAGCAAATTTGGAAATGCTTAACCTCAGCAACATCAGATACTGTGGTGAGAGGAAAGTGCCTTGAGTTGGGGCAGGAGTTATGTCTAGCAAACCTGCCTGCAGGTGCCTCCCAACTCTCCTTACCTGTTTGCTCAGTAGGTAGGGCATCTGCTCTGGGGATGTCAGACACAGTAAGTGACTCACAGTGAGAGCTTCAACACAGGGGAAGGGCCAAGTAGGTGCCTTGCTAACTTGCCCCAAGCTGTCCCTTAACCTGGTCGATGTTGCCCCTCCTGCCTCCAGGACTCCCATTGCTCCCCAGGCTCTAGTCCAATGCTCACCTAGCAGGATATCTGCACCCAGTCTTCTGAGCCTGCATCAACTGAGGGTCTTGCACATTCCTGGGAACATCAGTTGGGCATCGGTGTCCTCCCCCACCTCCCTGCCCCCAGTGGAAGACAGGCCCCAGGCTGTTACCTTCCTTGTGCGTGAGCTTCTCTCCCAGTCTCATGAGTTTTGACCGCAGCTCAGATGCCATGATGTAACCTTTCTTCTCCTTGTCTGCCATTAACATGGCCAGGAGAATTTCTTTCTTTGGGTCCTCTTGCTTTATTTGCATGTGCATAATGGTCAGAAAAGTGGAGAAATCCAGCTCTCCATTTCTGTCTAGGAAACCCCCCAAACACCAGAGTGAGCAGGGGGAAATGGCTATAAGGGGAAGCCACTATCCCCTTGTCCAACCTGCAGTGCTGGATCAAGGGCACCTAATTCAGGGACCACCAGGACAGGGCAGTGGTCCATGGTAAAGACACAGCCCTTCCTGCTGAGTTTCCACTACAGGCCACTCACTGGACTGGATGTTGCTAATTTCAGTGACATTCTCAGTGACTGTGGTTATCACCCCACTTAGCCTGCTGAGGAGACAGAAGGTCAGGGTGTGCAGTCACATTACGGAGCAGAGCAGGACCATGGCAGGCTGCACCTCTTTTCCAGTGTGTCCCTCTTGGCCTGCCCTGGAGGGAAACAGGTTTACATGTCCATCCCCCTTGGCTGCCAACACCAGGACAGATGTGTGACCTCACCTGGCCTCAAGCTCCAGTCCCAGCCTGGGCACTGACCACATCTTCCACCCTAACCGTCCTCTGGGCGTACCCTGGCCAGCTACAACTGCAGGAAACCAGAACTTCCCCTGACCACAACCTCCTGTTTAGAGGACACAGAAACAAGGAAACCACTTTCCCTTTGGAACTAAAAATGGGGGATCTCAAGTATCAGACCCCTGAGCACTCTGTCACCAGGTGCCAGCCTTCAGAGTTCAGGCTGGGCCCAGCATGAGTGTCCAAGGCTGCTGCAGTCATCTTGCAGGTGCTGGTGACCCATCTGAGAGGTGAGACTGCTGAGGGCCAGGACTGAGAAGTGGCCTGTGGACTTTAGGACAAGTGCTTTTCCCAGGCCACCCCCTCCTCTGGGCCAGTAGTGTCCAGCCCCCAGTGCAAATAGCCACCTCAGCCTCTCTTACCACTTTTTTCCTTTAAAAAAAAAAAACACCTGGCTCGCCGCCCATAACACCAGCCACATACACCAAGGTTGGCGGGTTCGAACCTAGCCCAGGCCAGCTAAAACAACAATGACATCTGCAACAAAAAATAGCTGTGGTGGGTGCCTATAGTCCCAGCTACTTGGGAGACTGAGGCAAGAGAATCATTTAAGCCCAAGAGTTGGAAGTTGCTGTGAGCTGTGATGCCATAGCACTCTACCAAAAGCAACAAAGTGAGACTCTCAAAAACAAAAAACCCAGAACATAAAAGTCTGCTTCTAATTATAAAAGTCCTAGATGGTCTCATTGTTGAAAATACAGAACACAGCAATCAAGGGAATGAAGATCACCCATAATCTCATCCCCAGAGAGAACCACATGGTAAACATTTTGGGTGGGTTTTCTTCCAGTCTTTTTTTCCAGCAGTATTGCATCATTTTTCAGTCTTTGAAATCAGAAGAAATAGGTTCCAATCCTGAATCTACCATTGGCTCATGTACTTTGGTGAGTTACTTAATGGCCATGGACCTCGACCTTTGCTTGTAAAATGGGATTAGGAGAGTACCCTCTTCATAGGAAGTGTCTGAGCCAAGCACTTGGCACATACACAACAAAGGGAAATTTTTCTTTTTTTCTTTTTTGAGACAGTCTCAAGCTGTCACCCTGGGTAGAATGCCATGGGGTCACAGCCCACAGCAACCTCAAACTCTCCGGCTTAAGCAATTCTCTTGCCTCAGCCTCCCACGTAGCTGGGCCCCTGCCACAACACGCATCTATTTTTTTGTTGTTGTTTTGTTGCAGTTGTCATTTTAGCTGCCCTGGGCCAGGTTCAAACCCGCCAGCCTCGGTGTATATGGCCGGTGCCCTACCCACTGAGCTGCAGGTGCCGCCAACAAAGGGAAATTTTTCTATAAAAACAACACTGGGATCACTGTCAGCACTGTGACAGTTTGTGATAAAGTTGTTGGAATGCCTGGTTCCTGAGGTCCCATGTGAAATGGGGTGTCACCTGGTTCCATGAGGATTCAAGGAAGCTGAGTGATGCACGGAGCACCTGCCCGTCCTGCAGATGACTCGCTGCCACCTGTCCCTCCAACTCTGAGCTTTCCACACCTCTGCTCTCTGCACCCACCTGCTGGGGCCCTCCCCAAGCCCCTGGCTCACTCACCTATCCCATGGGTCTGCAGATGCCGCTGCACCTCCCCTGGCGTTGGGCTGGCCCCCAGGCACCTCATGGTCACCATGAGGTCAGTGGCTTTTATCTTCCCCCTCTGCTGCTTGTCGTACAGGGAGAAGCATTCCTTATACTCTGTGCACAGCCCAAAAGGGAGCGTCAGTAACATTCTGTCACTGTCCACACTGTGGCCCTCCCTGTCCTGTCCTCCACCTCGCTTTCCCCTGCCCAGCTCCTCTCTTCAACCCCGCCCCCTACCCTGGTTGTCAGATACAGTGAATGAAAATACAGAACTGCAAGGTAAACTGAATTCAGATAAACAGTGAGTACATTTGTTGTACAAGTATGTCCCAAGCTTTTGCACATTTAATTGAGTGCCCAGTATTTTCCTTGGCTCTGCTTCCTCTCCTCCTGCCTCCTCCCTTCTCCTTTCTCTTCCCCTCTGCCCTTCCTCCCCAGGAGCCCACAGCAGGGCATCCAGACTCCCAGGGGACCTTTGCAAATACAATTTCTCTGAGAAACAGGGATAAAAATGCCTCTGGATTGCTGTGAGGGCCCCTTCCACGAAGGCCTGGCAGAGACAGGCTCTCACATGTGGTGATGTATTATGATCATGATTACAACAGGGGCACTTATATGAGTTCACTGCCCCTGCCCCCAGCCTCCAGCTGCTGAATGAAGTCCTAGGCCTGTTCTTAAAGAGTCTAAGACAGCAGTTCTCAACCTGTGGTTAAACCCCGTTGCGGGTTGAACAACCCTTTCACAGGGGTCGCCTAAATACATCCTGCATATCATATTTATATTAGGATTCGTAACAGTAGCAAAATTAGTAGCAACAAAAATAATTTTATGGTTGAGGGTCACCACAACATGAGGAACTGTATTAAAGGGTCACGGCATTAGGAAGGTTGAGAACCACTGCTCTAAGAGGTCCTGTGGGGAAGTTCTCCCAGGGTCTGAAGCCCTTTCTCCTGTGCCACTTGGTGGAGGTGAAATGTCTGCTGGGGCTCAGGCTCCTCTAAAGCCACTGTCTCACAGCCCAGCACAGCTGTCCCACTGGGCCCCAGCCCTTGGAGGAACAGGAAAACCAGCTGGGAGCTTGGCAAAGATCCCTAGGCCCCAGTGACTGAGTCTGATTCAGGCCTGGAGTGGAGCAGCCATCAGGTGAGGTAACTGAGCCCTGCGGGGGAGACTGAATAGCCCTCATTGGCCCTGCCCACCTGGGGCGCAGGTATTGGTTCTCCTGCTTCTCACACCACCCAGTGGGTCCTCAGAGGCCTGGACCAGTGACTCCTTAGCTGATACAAGAACAACCATCACATTTGACATTGCTGAGCACTCGACCCCATGCCTGTGGGACCTTGGAAGTAGCACTGATACTATCCCCATCATGCAGTGGAGTGGCTGAGCATCAGCTCTGGGCAGCCTGGCTCTGAAGCGGAGCTGTGTCCACCAGGCCACACTGCCCTCAGTTCCTTCCAGTGTGTGGATTGGGAGGGGGTGCAGAAGGAAGCCTCTCAACCCCCCAACCCGGATCTGGGGTCACTGAAGGTAGACCAGCAGGTGAGGTTGAGAGACAACTTTGTGAAGAGGTTGAAAGGGGACCCCACTTACCCACTTGCCCTTTCAGATCTTTCCAGAGCCTGTGCTTCTAAAGAGCAGGAGCCAGAGGGGAGCAGAGCAGTCAGGGCCAGAACCTAGCCTAAGACCTCAGCCTTGATTCCTACAAAAACTAATTGCCTATAAGAGGGCCCAGTGCCAGAGGGGACAGTGCTATCATCTCCCATCAAGGGCACAAAAGAAAGCTTGCCCCACATACAGAGTTTAAGCCTAGCCCCTCCTGGTGTGGCCCTCTCAGCCACCCCCACTTTGTGTTTGGATTTGCCCATGGGCAAACAGGAGGGGTGCACACTGCCCCCCGCCCCATGCCCTGCAACTATACCTGGGAGCCAGTGCCCCTGACATCAGCAGGGCCAGGGTTCATAGACAAGCCTCCCTCTCAACAAACCCTTATGTCCTCTGACCTTGACAAATCTACATTTTGATGACCTGGAAAACCAGAGCCAACAGAGTATACCTGGTGAACCAGCTCTGGCTCCTGGCTGACTCCCCACCTTTCAGCCACTCTTCTCCCCTCTCCCTCTTCTGCTCTCCCTGCTCCCAGCTTAGCCATGGAGTTCTGCTGTGAGTACTTCACTGCTTTCCTGTGTCATCCTCCCCTGCCTCGACTATGACCCCTGTGAAGGCAGGGGAGGGATTTTGTCTATTCACTGCTGTTATGGCTAAAACCTAGAATAGGGCTTGCACAAAGAAAGGACTCACACACTTCAGTGAAGAATGAATTAAATGGTATGAACTGAATTAAAAATCTCTGGTAGGGCTCAGTGCCAGTAGCTCAATGAGTAGGGTGCTGGCCACATACACTGAAGGTGGAGGGTTCGAGCCTGGCCCGGGCCTGCCAAACAACAATGACAACTGCAACTGGGCATTGTGTCGAGTGCCTGTAGTCCCAGCTACTCGGGAGGCTGAGGCAAGAGAATCACTTAAGCCCAAGAGTTTGAGGTTGCTGTGAGCTATGACACTATAGCACTCTACTGAGGACGACACAATAAGACTCTGCCTAAGGAAAAAAAAAATTCCCCTGTAGGTTTTCCCTTTGAAAATGCAAATGCCCAGAGATAAGAAAGATACTTCTGGTGAAACCTGTGGCTCAGTGCCGCAAGTTGGAACCTGGCCCTGGCCAAAGTGCAATAAAAAAAGAGCTAGGCGGCTCGGCGCCTGTGGCTCAAGCGGCTAAGGCGCCAGCCACATACACCTAAGGTGGCGGGTTCGAATCCCCAGCCCGGGCCCGCCAAACAACAATGATGGCTGCAACCAAAAAAATGGCCAGGTGTTGTGGCAGGCGCCTGTGGTCCCAGCTACTTGGGAGGCGGAGGCAGGAGACTCGCTTGAGCCCAGGAGTTGGAGGTTGCTGTGAGCGTGATGCCATGGCACTCTACCCAGGGGGATAGCTTGAGGCTCCGTCTCAAAAAAAAAAAAAAAAAAAAAAGAGATAGGAGTTGTGGCTGGCACCTGTAGAACCAGGTCCTCAGGAGGCTGAGGCAAGAGAATCGCCTAACCCCAAGAGCTGGAAATTGTTGTGAGCTGTGATGCCACAGCACTCTAATTGAGGGCAACAAAGTGAGATTGTCTCTAAAAAAAAAAAAAAAGAAAGACACTTCTAAGGCCTAGGATGACACCCACTGTGTGCTGAAGGTTTAACTGGCTCTGATGACATTATTTACATGTTTATTACACACTTTACAGACATAAACAATGTATACCACAGAATTTGCAAGTAATAATAAAATAAATATGCAATATTCTTTTTTTTTTCTTTTTTTTTGCAGTTTCTGACCAGGGCTAGGTTTGAACCTGCCACCTCTGGCATATAGGGCCAGCGCCCTACTCCTTTGAGCCACAGTGCCACCCCAATATGCAATATTCTTTGTTATTAATTCTATCTAGGCAACTGATTAACACAAATGAGTTTTGCCAACTCACATTCATTGCCAACTGAGAGCTGTGATTCAACCATGACTTGACAAATGAGTTGCATACCAGTGAATGCAATTCTTTTTCCAATGAATGTATTGTCATAAAATTTGATAAGTGATCTACTATTAAACCATTTCTCACCCTTGTACCAATATTTTATTTTATTACTTTTTATTATTTTATTTTAGAGATAGGATCTTGTTCTGTCAATGGGGCTGGAGTACAGTGGTCTCGTGACAGTTCACTGCAGCCTCAAACACCTAGGCTCAGACCATCCACCCATTTCAGCCTCCTGAGTAGCTGTGGCTATAGGTACATGCTACCACGCCTGGCTAGTTTTTTAAAATTTTTTTGTAGAGACAAGATCTTGCTATGTTGCCTGGTAGGCTGGTCTCAAACTCCTGGATTCAATCCTCCCCCCAAATGCTGGCATTATAGACATGAGCCACTCATCTGGGTGGCTAACAATGCCAAACAACAATGTTTGGTACCAATTATATTCATTAAACTAAGATTTCTTTCACATGTCCAGCACTACTGGTTGCAATAGGGCTTTTAAACTTTGTGTATAGATGTAGGGATTGGAACGTTGTTTGATACTATATTATTTGATAATGGCTTATAAAATTGCTAAAAACGTGGCTCTTGATAGCTGAAGCAAGCCAGCTCCAGCACACATATGGGTGATGCCTGGCCTGTGCCTGGCCCAGTGTCAAGCATATAACTGACATTGTCCCCTCTTTCTCTCTCAGCAGCCTAGTGAGGTGGCATCATTATCCCTACTTCACAGATGAGAAAACTGAGGCTCAGAGGTGATGGGACCCAGGTCTGCTGACTCCAAGGCCCCGGTTCTTCCCTTTCCACTAAGCTACCCATGTAGTTTTATGCAATCATTAAACATTGCTGACCACTTTCATGGTGTCAGACACTGGAATACAAAGAGAAATTACTTTCTTTCCTTCTGGGAGTTTTGAAGGCCCTAGGAGGGAGGGTCATTGAGACTCGAAATTAGCTATGTGTTGGGGGGGGTGCTGAGGCTGAGAGCTGGACTCCAATCCTGAGTCCTTTACACCAGAGGAAGGGGAGCCCCTGTCCTGGACCCTGTTTTAAAAGTCCCTGTTTAGGGGCAGTGCCTGTGGCTCAGTGGGTAGGGCACCAGCCCCATATACTGAGGGTGGCAGGTTCGAACCTGGCCCCCACCAAACTGCAACAACAAAATAGCTGGCATTATAGCAGGCACCTGTAGTCCCAGCTACTCTGGAGGCTGAGGCGAGAGAATCGCCTAAACCCAAGAACTAGAGGTGGCTGTGAGCTGTAATGCCACGGCACTCTACCAAGGGCAATAAAGTGAGACTCTGTCTCAAAAAAATAAAATAAAATAAAATAATAAATAAAAATAAAAGTCCCTAGCCCTCCTAGTGGGCTAAGGGGTTCAAAGGGGTCTATGCGGAGGTGCCCTCCTGGAGCCCACAACTCCTCCCCACCTCTAGACAAACTCTGGATATGCAGAACTCTGGAACCCCTGCCCAGGTTAACATCAAGCCCACTTCTAGAGCTTTCAGGACCTTGCCCTGGGTCACAAGGCTGCCATGAGGCCAAGGAACCTGCAACTTTATCTCTAGTGCGGGGGGTGGGGGTGGGGCCTCACTGAGAAGGTAACAGAGACCTGGAGATAATGGGACACCCAGGAGTGGGGTGTTACTGTTAGGCCGACTGTTGGGACACAGGTCCAGGGGAACAACCTCAAGAAACAGCTGCTTGTGCCACCTGAGGCTCTCAGCTGGGCTTTGCTGAGTCTCTCTTGCCAGGGGTTGCGGGGGCTGCAGCCACGAGGCTCCCCTGGCCCATGTCTGGGCCCCTGAGTTCTCTGTAACCCAACTCTTTCCTCTAGATCTTGTGGAAACAGAGCTCTGCACTGAGTGAAATTGAAGCCTGACTGGGGACCAGCAGATGAGGAGATCCAGGGAATATGCACATGCCAAAACTTGGCTTCACTTCAGCTGAACCCCAATTTTACAGATGGGGAGACTGAGGCCAGGCAAGTAGAAGGCTCTAGTACAAGGGTGGCAGAGCACCTCTTTTCCCTATCCCTTCCCCCTCCTTCTCCCCTGTCTGCAATGTTAATGGTCTCTCTTCATCCCACCCAAATCCAAGTATCAGGAAGGATCTCTAGTGGGCTCTCTCCCACCACCCCAGCTTGGAAACCACACCGACAAACATGAGACCAACATTTCCACCTTCAGTCCCACCGGCCTCTTGCAGCAGCCCGCCTCTGGCCCGTGGGTGGGCCCAGCTCCCCCTAGCCGCCTTCCTTCCCAGCAACAAAAAACTGAGCAGAGCGAATCGCCTAATGAGACCCATATTTTGCTGTGAGTTGCTAATTAAAGAGCAAACCAACCTACCATTAATTTGGTCCTGGGAAAGAAACTTGGCCTGCAGGAGAGAGAGGAAAACAGTCAGGGAAGGGCTCGGTTCCCGGCCCCTCCCCAGACTTGGCCAGGAGACCACAGACCCCCCCTCACCATCGCGGGCCGCGCTGCCACCCGGGCTGGGCTGGCTGCTCCCTGACGGCGCTGTCACGTCGACTTCCTCCCTTTCCTTGGCTGCAGGTCCGAAGTCCGCCCAGCTGGGTGGAGGCCCGATAATAAACCCTCGGCTGCCGTGGAGACCCGGCCAACGCCTGGGGTCAGATTCCCGCCTCCGCACGGCTGTCCCCTACGCGCAAGTGGCTAGAGAGGAAACAGGCGGCGGAAGGGCTGTCCTGGGACTGGGGCTTCTGTCCTCCCGTCCCGGAAGCCAGTGCCTTGCAGCTGAGGGACAAACGCCCACGTTCCCTCCGGGGAGCCCTGCAATGCGGGAGGGGGTCAGTAAATTCAGAAAGGGGGGAGGCTGCTCCCGGGTCACGGTGTCCTGTCTCTGGGCTTCCCGCTGGCAGTCCAGCACTTTGCAGCCTGTCTCACTGCAGGCAGGTCACAGGCCATCCAGGAGTAAGCAGCTCAGTGACAGGCGCCCGGGCCCCAGCCTTGGGCAGGTACCGCAGAAGGAGCGCAGGCTTGGGACGGTCAGGCTGGATTCACTCCTGCCACTCCTGCTGATTTGCTGCGTGACCGGGAGGGAGTCCTCAGCCTCCGGTGCCTCACTTTCCTCCCTGGGCTGAACTGTGGGGCCCTTGGGAGAGCTAAGGGGCCAGGGCAGTTGGGGCGCAGCCTCTTCCAGGACTCTGGGGGTGAGGCCTCTTAGGTGACTTCCTGGCTCCTTTTCTTTCTTTTTTTTTTTTGAGACAGAGTCTCACTTTATCAGTAGAGTGCCCTAGCGTCACAGCTCACAGCAACCTCCAACTCCGGGGCTTAGGCGATTCTCCGAGTAGCTGGGACTACAGGCGCCCCCCACACGCCCGGCTATTTTGTTGTTGTTGTTGCAGTTTGGCCATAGCAGGTTCGAACCCACCACCTTCGGTGTATGGGGCTGGCGCGCTACCCACTGAGCCACAGGCGCCACCCCTGGCTCCTTTTCTTTCTCTCCCTCCTCTGCCCACCCTCAGCCCTCCCCTCCCCCCACCTCTTGTAGCAGAAGCTGCTGAGACTCCCAGTGTCCTCAGTGGTTTCTGCAGCTCTGCTGTCCCCACAAAGGCAATGAAGACAAAATGGGGTGCCTGGGAGCTGCCCTGTTGGGCACCACTGGAGTCTACCATTTTGTCTTGAGATCCAGTCCCCCTGTTGCAGAGAGCAAGGCTTTTGTCCACAGCTGGGGTCTGGCTTGTCTGTGGGCTTAGGAATCTGAGGTTCATCCCACTTTCTCAAGGGCCCTCAGATGTGGCTGCACAGGCCCTGCCCTGAGCCAGGCTGCAGTACAAGTAGGTGCTGGTGGCAGCTGCATGGACCCAGAGGAAGGGGACTTCTTGCCAGTTTGCACAGTGGCAAGGTGCCACCTGCCTTTGGTCCACTCTCTCCATCCCGCCTTTTCTGACCACTTCAGTGTAGAAAGTTCTCCTTCCCTCCAAATTGTGTCTCCTGAGTTGCCTCCTTACACCTATTCTAGACCCAGAACTTGCAGCTTGAGGCTCCTTTGTCCCCTGTGAGAAGAGGAAAGGCTGGCAGCAGTGCTGAAAGTGGGGGGAGAAGGAAGTTGGGAGAAGTCAGGTGGGGATTGGAAGTGTGGGGAAGCCTGAAGGGGATAGAGCACTCACTTGGAATTGCCCTTCTTTGGAAATGGGCCCTAGGAGAGAAAAGGCATTTCCTTGGGTTTAGGTCAGTAAGCGCTGGGGTTTGAGCTCTGTTCCCCAAGGCATCCTAACTGACACCCTTGCCAACTCCCTCCTCACCTCCCATCAAGGAGCTCTGAAACACCTGCACTGGGGTAGTGTCCACAGGAGGTTCCACTATACAAAGGTTCCTCCAGCTGTATGGAATACTGCACGTGTGCTACATCTCAAAGATTTTCAGTACCACTTGGGGCTGTGATTTTTTGTTTATTCTTGAGCCCTGGCCCCTCTTGGGGGTTGACATATCCCCTGGGGACTGCCATGACTTCTCTCCTGCTCCCACTCTCTGGATGCCCCTGGGATGGGCTCTAGACAGGGAAAGGTCCTCCCTTCAACCCCCCAGGCGACAGTCTGACCAAGATGTTCCCAAGATTTTGATGAGATGCTTTTGGCTTTTGCTCATGTTTCCTTGACCCAACTCCCTTCCCCAAGAGGATAGGGACAGACCTCTTTCCACCCCACACAGTATTCCTGGGCCAAACTTGTGTCTTGGGGCACAGTCTCTCACAATTAGGGGCTAACAGGGTAGCCCCTTGGGCCCCCAGAGGAGTCTTTAAGTCCTTGGCAGGTTTACAGTGTGCCTGCTGGGTGAAGGCACAGAGGTGGCCCTCAGAGGCCCACTGGGCTCTGCTCCTCCTGTCCTGTGTGCCTCTGAACAGAGGCTCCTGAAGCTAAAGCCTGTACTGGGTTGAATAGAGTTGCCCCAAACTCATGTCCACCAGAAAACGGTGATTGCGGCCTTATTTGGAAATAGCCCTCTGCAGATACAACTAAGATGAAGTCATCCTGGAGTGGAGTGGGTCCGAATCCAATGAGCAGAATTTGAACATACAGAGACATGGAGCGAGGCTGTGAGGACTGAAGCAGAGACCGAGAGACGTGTCTACAAACTAGGGAAGGCCAAGGACTGCCTGAGTTTGGAGAAGCTGGGAGTGGCAAAGGATTCTCCCCCAGAAGCTACAGACAGCCCGGTTCTACCAACACTTTGATTTTTGGACTTGTAGTCTCTGATAGTACAAATACCTGTTTTGTTTTGTTTAGCTATTATTATTTTTATTATGTCCTCATTTTATTGTGGCTCAGTGAAAACCTTCCATGGTCCAATACTTGAGAACCGCTGACTTGCAGGAGGTGCTACTGAGGCTGGGCACCCTGCCCACATGGTAAGTGAGGTTCCCGTGGCACTGCATAGCCTTGGGGGCTGGTATTGCCACTCACAGTGTCATCTGTGTCAACGGTTATCTAGAGCTGTCCAATGCACAACCTCACCAGCCCGACATGGGGGCCTTGACTGATTATGGAAAATGTAAAAAAAGGCTTGGCACCTGTAGTACAGTGGTTATGGCACCAGCCACACATACCAAGGCTAGTGGGTTTGAACCGGCCTGGGCCAGCTAAACAACAATGACTACTGCAACAACAAAAACTAAATAGTTGTACCTGTAGTCCCAGCTACTTGGGAGGCTGAGGCAAGAGAACTGCTTAAACCCAAGAGTTTGAGGTTGCTGTGAGCTGTGATGCCACTGCACTCTACTGAGGGTGACACAGTGAGACTATGTCTCAAAAAAAAAAAAAAAGAAAAGAAAGAAAGAAAAGAAAAAAGTGTAAAAAAAGGCAAAATCACAACCATTCAAGGTTTTGGACTCAAGAGTCAGAGCAGGGCGGCTTGGCGCCTGTGGCTCAAGTGGCTAAGGCACCAGCCACATACACCTAAGGTGGTGGGTTTGAATCCAGCCCGGCCCGCCAAACAACAATGACGCTGCAACTAAAAAAAAAAAAAAATAGCCAGGCACTGTGGCAGGTGCCTGTGGTCCCAGCTACTTGGGAGGCTGAGGCAAGAGAATCGCTTGAGCCCAGGAGTTGGAGGTTGCTGTGAGCGTGATGCCATGGCATTCTACCCAGGGGGATAGCTTGAGGCTCTGTCTCAAAAAAAAAAAAAAAAAGAGTCAGAGCAGGGTGGTAGCTGTGGCTCAGTGGGTAGGCACTCGCCCCATATACCAAGGGTGGTGGGTTCAAACCCAGCCCCTGCCAAACTGCAATAAAAAAATAGGCAGGTGTTGTGGTAGGTGCCTGTAGTCCCAGCTACTTAGGAGGCTGAGGCAAGAGAATCGCCTAAAGCCCAGTTGGAGGTTGCCGTAAGCTGTGACACCACAGCACTCTACTGAGGGCGATAAAGTGAGACTCTATCTCAAAAAAAAAAAAAAAAAAAGAGCAATGAATATTAGAAGTCACATTCTAAGCTGCTATTTTTTCATTGTTTCAACTACTTCTGTTGAATAATGGACCCTTCCCTCTCTATTTTTCCCCATAGAAGACTTTAAAAATTATTTTGGGGGGTGTCATGAGGGATGAGATTGCCTACACCAAAAACTTAATGCAAAAGTGGTTCTTTCTACATAGCACATGTGGAAAAGTGGGGTGCCCCTGACTGCAATTTGGGGGAGGAATTTACAAGAAATCTTTACTTTCCCCTTTCCACCTTCTTCCAAAGTAGTTGCCTGTGTCAACTGGATACGCCTGGGGGTGAGAAGTTCAGCTTCACATAGTGAACACTGCTAAGTGGCCTTGGATGAACAGCCTAGTGCTCAGGTCCCAAAGCGGCCACCCAGCTCCTCCAGCAGCACGTGCCCACTCCAGGGGCCACTGCTGTCTAGACCTGGAGTCATGTGGTGGAGGGCCCCTGCCCTGTGCCACATGTTTCCAACCACCAGTCAGCCCTGGATTCCAAACACCTATTTCTGAAAATTGGAGATTTTTGTCTCCATCATCTTCCAGTGCCCAGTACAGGACAAGCTCATGCATCATGATAAGCAAATGTTTATTTATGCACCATCCATTGTTTCCTGGGGTTTGTCCTGGTTTTTCTGAGATGGAGTCTCACTGTTGCCCTGGGTTGAGTGCCATGGCTTCATCATAGCTCATAGCAACTTCAAACTCTTGGGTTCAAGTGATCCCCTTACTTCAGCCTCCCACATATGTAGCTGGTATGACAGGGGCCTGCCATGATGCCTGGATAGTTTTTCTGTTTTTAGTAGAGATAGGGCCTCACTCTTGCTCAGGCTGGTCTTGAACTCCTGAGCTCAAGGGATCCACCTGCTGTGGCCTCCAGAGTGCTGGGATTGCAGGTGTGGGCCACTAGGCTTGGCCTGCCATGTTTTTCTGAACACATTTATCTGCAGCTCCCTTGATGGTAGGAGGTGGCGTCCTCAGCACCCAGCACAATGCACAGCACGGAGCTGACGTGCAGTCAACATCCATGGCATAAACAGATGTGACGTGCACAGGGTTAAGGATAGTGAGCAGGGAAGACAGTGGTCCAGTCAAGGACACTGCTGTGGCTGTGAAGGGGAGATGGATGGGACTGGTCTTCCGCCACTTGCAGCTGCGGTGGCTCAGACATTCAGGGATTTTTTTTTTTAGTTTTTGGCCGGGGCTGGGTTTGAACCCGCCACCTCTGGCACATGGGACCAGCGCCCTACCCTTTTGAGCCACAGGCGCCGCCTGACATTCAGGGATTTTGTGAACAGTCTTTGAGACTCAAAATTGGTCAGGGGATACTAGTAAAGAACCCATTTTCTATGTGATCAACTAGCACAGTGGTTCTCAACCTGTGGGTTGCGACCCCTTTTTAACAGTGAAAATACATGGCGGCTTAGGAAGGTTGAGAACCACTGAACTAGCACATTCTTAAATCCATGGATATTCGCTTAGCACTTTCTGAGCACAGTGTATGATGGCAGGTGGGCCGGCTAGCAGCTGTGTAGAGGGCTGAGGCCAGCCAGCCCTTGCTTCTTGGAAGTATGGAGGGAAAGCTCTTTAACCTCTCTGCACCCCTGTGAAGACCAGAGGACCTCAGGGATAGGGCGCACAAGTGCACGCCACAAACACTGGCTGACATGGTCATTACCAGCTTGCCTCTCAATTCAGCCTGTTGGCCACCCAAAGGGGGAATTTCTGAGGCCAGGTCTGGGCCCTGTGGATATAAGGGCTGAGTCTAACCAGGGATGTCTGTCTTGGACAATGCACAGGGAACAGCAATACCAGGCTAATGTAACTGCCAGCTGAGAATGAGAGGAACAAATATTATGTTGGGATGGAAAAGAGCTCTTGGCTCTAAGGAATTGCAGGCCTCTGGGATTGGCCTCCATAAGCCTTTCCTATGGTGAAAGCCTGTCGATTTTCTCGAAGCCTGGTGATCATACCCCAAGGTGGGCAAAGGAATAGACAGCAGCTGAAATTGCAGGTCCCAGAGCAGTGAGTGGGGTGGCAGCAAGTGGTCTCCACGGCCTCAGGGTACCTCCAAACACAAGGAAGTGATCAGGACTATGTGCGCCCCAGAGCTCATGGCTGCCTGCAGTGGAAGGAGACAAGCCCAGAGACACCTGTGTGGTATAAAGTGCAGTCACATCTACTCCAGAGCACCAAGGCAGAGCCCCAGCAGTAGCAGTGGCGGGGCCGGCCCCATCCTGGGGCTGCGGATCTGGACGTTCTCTCCCAATGCATGGACGGAGTGGCATCTGGAACCTGCCCTGCTGCCTACCAAGTGCCCCAGTCCTGGCAACCCAATTCCTGTTGTTTTAAGCCACCAAGTTTGTGGCACTTAGCTATGGCTGTCCTAGCAAACTGATACAAGGCCCTGCACTTGCCCCCAGGAGGGCTAGGCACTGAGGGGGGTTGTGGGGTGGTGTCAGTGGGACTTCACACAGATCCCCTGGGTGCAGGCTCAGGAAGTCCTGTGGGGCTGAGATGTGAGTTCCTCACAGGGTTCCAGGGGAAGCTGATGCTGTATGTCCAGGGACAACACTGAGTGGGCAGGTCCTGGAATGGTGGTCCCCAAACTTGAGCCCACATCAGAATCACCTGCAGGGCTCTGTCCTGGAGTTTCTGATTTGGGGTTTGGAGGTCAAGAATATGCACTCTCCTCAGCCATCCTGACACTGCTTCATCCCCCACACTCTGAGAACCAGCCTACAGCTTTCTGGGTGGAGTGAAGCCAGGTTGCAATCAAGATATTTTTAGAGAAAGATTTCCAGTAAGCTGACTGGAGAGATCTCAGTCAAGAGAGACAAGTCTCCAGGGCTCTGGCAATTTGCTGGGATTTCTTCTCCTTTCTAAATATTCACTTGCAGCAGGGCACAGTGGCTCACACCTGATTCCTAATATTCCAGGAGGCCCATATAGGAGGATTGCTTGAGCACAGCAGTTTCAGACCAGCTTGAGCAAGAGCAAGACCCCGTCTCACTCTTTTTTTCTTTTTCTAAAAACAGAAAAACTAGCCAGATGTTGTGGTGGGCACCTGTAGTCCCAGCTACTCAGGAGGCTGAGGCAGGAAGATCACTTGAACTCAGGAGTTTCAGGTTGCTGTGAGCTAGGCTGATGCCAGGGTACTCTAGCCTGGGCAAAAGAGTGAGACTCTATCTCAAAATAAATAAATATGCCTAATTTTTTTTTTTTTTAAATAGAGACAGAGTCTCACTTTATCGCCCTTGGTAGAGTGCTGTAGCATCACTGATCACAGCAACCTCTAACTCCTGGGCTTAGGCGATTCTCTTGCCTCAGCCTCCTGAGTAGGGGGACTACAGGTGCCCACCACACCTGGCTAGTTTTTCTATTTTTAGTAGAGACAGGGTAATCCACCTGCCTTGGCCTCCCACAGTGCTAGGATTATAGGTGTTAGCCACTGCACCTGGCCTATTCCTAATTTTAATCAATTTCCCCCATTTTCTAATCAAGAGCTCCTTAAATTGTATATGCTTCGAGCCCCATAACATCGGACTCCTGCATATGAAATTAACACCTTCTGTAGAGAACACTTCTGGAACCAGAGGGTCTGCAGCAACAGTATCCTTGAGGTAGGATGGAAGCAAATGAGTTTGCTAGTCAGGTGGGGGGACAGGACACCTGGCTGGGACGCCTGCCCATCCCGCACTGCCCTTCCTGTGTCATCTGACACAAGCCCCTGTAAGTCTCTGTGTTGTGAGGCTGAGACCTTTGCATATCAAGAGCTAAAGCCCCAGCAGGTCAGGTGACCTGCCTAAGGCTAAGTGTCAACCTCCTACCATCCTGCCTCCCACTTTCCCCCAAAGGGCAGCCTCTGCTTCAGGCTCTGAAACAGGCTGCACAGTTAGGATGCCCAGCCGGATGGGGAAGGTCTGGAGATGCCCTCGCCTCCAGGACCCTAGACTCCTCTGGAAAAGAGCTGGGACTGATCAGAAGACCAGGCCCATCTTGCCCTCACCCCCAGGAACCTGTGGCACACAGGCCAGTGCGAGTACCTGCTCTTGGCCAGACCAGAGCTGCTGCTAGGAGCCTCTGGCTCCAGCTTGGGCCCCCAAGCGGTCTCTCCGCCACCCCAGAGAACTCCCTCTTGCCTCCCTGAGGCATACCCAGGCAAGAAACAGCCACCAGCCAGGCTTGGCCCCACACCAGCTTTTTATTCCCACCTCACCACCCACCCTGTGCTGCCAGTGGTGGGGACTGAACAAAGAGCTGGGGCACTCCTAAGGAGGGAGTAGGGATACCCCAACATGAAAAGGAGAACCTGAGGTATGGGGCTCCCTGATAGCACAGGAGAAGAGGCAGGACCTGGGTAAGGCAAGGCAGATCTCTGAGACTCTCGAGTGCACACGGGCCAGTGCTGGCTAAATAAATGAGGCTATGAGGGGATCTGGACCCAATGCCTGGGAAAAGGTGGGTGGGCTGGGAGGCCCAGTGTGGAAGGCTGAGTGAGCCTCCCTTTTGTGGGGAGAATTCAGGCTGAGGGAGGCTGACTGCAGAAAGCCTCATGTCCTCTGACCCCTCTGATGGGGCTCAGGGTGCAGGGCAAGTATTTGAAAACTCTGCCTTCAGAGGCAGGTCAAATGTCTGTGGTCAGGCTGACAAGTGGGTACCACAATTCTGGAGTGGGAGCAGAGAGACAGAGCCTCTGGTGGAGGGAGGGGCAAAGGGCTGGAGAGCCAGTATTGCCAGCCCCCAAGCTCAGCCTGGTGCAGTTAGAGCAGTGAATCTGGGGTGCACATACCAGCCCAGGCTGGGAGGGAACAGTGAAAGGACAGAGCCCCATTGTCTGTCCCCAGGCTGCCCTGATGGGGGCCTGCAGCCCGCTGACTGACTTTGGGCCCATCCAATGCACATGAGGCCCAGATAGGGAAGTGAGTGCACTGTGTAACAATGCACAGAAAGTTGATGTGACTCTGGTAACCTAGCAGCCAGGGTCAGGGTGGGGCTGGGAGGTGAGCCGGGCAGTGGTGGGGTAACACATCAAGTTCCCTCCCACCTTCTGTCACACCCAGGCCTTTCCTGCACAGCTATCTGAAGATCTCCTAGGAAGAAGAGACAAGCCCTGAGCAGGGGTCTCCAAAGTCATCAGGTGCAGGAGGGCCAGGGTGTGGATCCCAGCCTAAACATGCTCCCTAAAGCTAAATATGATCCTAAAAAGATCCAAACCAAATAGAAACTTGACCAAAATAGTCAAGTCTTATAAAACACTCTGCACACACACACAAAACAAGCCACATGCTCGCACACACACCAAATCTATGGGCACGAAGTGTACTCAACCTGTGTTCTCAGCACTGGCTCAACTGGTACCCACCTACGTGCACACCCGCACACACCCTGTGCTCTCACACCTCCATGGCCCCCTTCCCAGCAGAGCTCCAGAGGCTGGTGCCAGGGACTCAATGATGACTGCTGACGTGGAGGGTGTAGAAAGCCCAGGGCTCAGGAACATAGATGACACCTGGGTACTTCTTCCTGAGTACAGGGTCATTCCACAGCCAGACCACCCAGAGCGCCACAAGCAAGAGGGTGAGGGTGAAGGAAGAGAAGAGGAAGAGGCCGTTGCTGTCCAGGAAGAGGTGCTTGCGCTTCTGGTGCAGGACGAGGGCCAGCATGGCGAAGAAGGTGAAGATGAAGAGGATGAAGATCTGGCCCTCTGTGACCAGGTACCTGGAGACACCGTAAGGTGAGGTGGCTGCCATGGCAACTGTGTCCAACCTGGCTGCCCTCCCAAGCAGTCAGAGCAGTTCCTCTGGGTAGAGGGCTCAGAGAACCATACCATGCTAAGCCACAGCAGAATATTACTTTGGCTTGTGGAGTTACTATTTTTAAATAGTTGTTTGTTGCCAATATTTAAATAACAGAATATGTGAAAATGGAGATTTCTGGCTTTTCCAGTCATATTAGGCTTTATTTCTATATGATAAAAAATGACTAGAGAAGAAAGCACCTGCCCCCTTTAGAGAAAGCATTCTTCTACAGTTTGCCACAGATCTCACTGTCCCCTATTGCCTCATCTGCTGCTCACTTAATGTATTTCTGTTACCTGTTTGGTTCCTGTAGGCATTTGAGTTTGGAATACAGCAGCAATTTATGGTGGCTGTCACCATCATCTCCTTGCAGACTGGAATAGAGTCTCATATCATCCAAGTTTCCTACAGTACCCAAGGGAGTGCCTAGCATGTGGCCAGGAGTTCAATGACACTTATTGGAGGTCCGCTCCCCTGCCTCTAAGGAGAATTTATAGCTAACTCCTTATATTCAAGGAACTATAGCTCTGCAACTTAAAGGTCGTATGACCTTGTGGGATTTCTATGACATCTTGGAGCTTGTTTTCTCATTTATGAAGGGGGTATAAATGGCCCCTGTACATCTCTTACTTGGAAAAGTATATTGCTTGACAAATGATTACTGCTGCTGCTACTGTAGCTATTGCTGCACCAACACACTATGGGTAAGAACTAGGCAGGTTGATACCAGTTATCAAAAGAGAGACAAGATAAAAAACTAGGTAGCAAGTTTTCTTCTTTCTTCTCCTCTTGCTTAGCTGTCACTCATTCCTTTTAATCTTGTCCTCAGGGAGCATACAGGGCCCTGGTGGCCCTCTCAGCCAAGCAGGCGATGGGCCCTAGAGGTGTCCTGGAGTTTGCCCCAGGAGAGAAGGTCCCTTTCATTTTTAGGGAGGCCTCCCATCTGAGAAGGTCCCAGTCTTGTCCCGGGTCCTTCCTCTAATACCTGCCATCCCCAGGTGACCTACCTGTAGGGCAGAAGTGACAGAGGAGGGCTGAGAACCTGGCTAACCCTGCATCCTCCATAATGAAAAGACAGAGTTGGAGGAAACAAAGAAACCAGGCGAGGGGCCAGGCATTGTGGCAGGCGCCTGTAGTCCAACTACTTGGGAGGCTGAGGTAAGAGAATCGCTTGAGCCCAAGAGTTTGAGGTTTCTGTGAGCTGTGACTCCAAGGCACTGTACCAAGGGTGACATAGTGAGACTGTGTCTCCAAAAAAACAAACAAAAAAAACAAACCAGGTGAGAAGCTCCTGAGGCCAGGGAATTCCATGATGCTTTGGACTGCACAAAGCTTTTTCTCCCCAAGACCTCACCATCTCCAAAAAGGTAGAGAGGGAGGTGTCACCTATTTCAGAAGAGGAAAGTGATGCCCACAAGGCTCCACAGGACTTAGTGTTGGCCCGAGGGCAGCCCTGGGGTTCTGGGAGACTGGGTGTGAGGCTGGAGAGACTGCAACTTCATGCCTTCCTCCTACCTCCCAGCCACACTTAGGCCTGGGTTTCATGGTTGTAAAGAGGTCATCGGTTCCCATTAGATACGGGAGGAAGCAGGGTCCAGAGCACGCCAGTCATACGTGGAGCCACATAACAGGTCAAAGGTCGAGTGTGGAATTTACTGCTGTGGTTTACTCAGTGCCCTCCCCTATGTCCACTCACCAGTAGTACAGGCCACTGGGCATCACGAGGAGCAGGGCAGGCCCTGGCATCAAGCTCTCAGCTTTAGAGGCAGTGAAACAGCCGCTGAAGTACATGAAGAGGATGAGGAAGAAGGGGATGTACCTGTGACAGGGAGGCCAGGGCCTGAGGGGGCTGTGCAGTGGCCCCGGCCCCCACCTCCACCCAGGTCCTCCTCCCCACGGCCTCTGCACTGGCTCCTTGCATGTCCTGTGGAGTACAGGCCTCTGCAGTGCTGCTTCATGGTTTACACAGCAGGCTTGGGCCAGGGGTGCTCCACCCCACCTGGCCTATCTCGTGCTGAAGGTTAAGGGTGGGACAGAATACAGCAAGGGAGGCAAGGCTCGCACACACCAGAGGCCCAGGGGCTACAGGTGTAGGCCCTTTCCACCCTGCCCTGGCCACTACTCACTCCATAGGAGGAGGGTCTCTATCTCACTCCCGGATACCTGCTGACCGGGAGACCTGTGTACCCAATGGGGCTGAAGACAGAGAGAGAAGGTCTAGGTCCAGGTTAAAAAAGAAAAAAACAAGGCGGCTTGGCACCCATAGCACAGTGGTTATGGAGCCAGTCACACGCACTGAGGTTGGCAGAGTCGGACTTGGCCCAGGCCAGCTAAACAACAACTCCAACAAAAAAATAGCTGGGCATTGCAGCAGGCACCTGTAGTCCCAGCTACTTGGGAGCCCGAGGTGGAAGAATCGCTTAAGCTCAAGAGTTTGCGGCTGCTGTGAGCTATGATGCCAGAGCACTCTATCAAGGATGACATAATGAGACTCTGTCTCCAAACAAAAAACAAACAAACAAAAACCCCAAGGGGACCAGAACAGCACCTCCCACAGGGGCAGGGGTTGAGGGACAACTCTATGAAGCCCCTACCTAGGCTGAGCCCACAGATTCACCCCCACATCTCACCCCAAAGTACCACCTGCTTCCTCAGCCCAACAGGCTCCCCTTCCCCTATCTGCACTCTCACCTGCCACAGTCCATCCCATCTCCTTGCCCCCCATAACCAGAATGCTCCAGGCCTCTGTTCCCCTGTCCCAACTCCAGCATCCTACAGGGCAGGGCTTCCAAGCAAAGGCCAGAGAGCTGGCAGGAGACCTGGCCAGACTCCAAGAACCTGGAAACCCCATGCAGGGTGTGAGGGGAGAGTCCAGTACCCCTGTGAGGTCTGGTCAGGGCTGGCTCTTGCCTCCTTTGCACCCTCAGCCCTCCCTCGCACTGGGCCAGCCTGGGACTTACTGTCTCATTTCTAATGTGTCCTCCTGACTGTGGGGGAGGGGAGGTTGTGAGGGGATGGGGCTTGGGTCTGTGAGAGAGGGTGGGAAGAGCTGCCCTGGGAGTTTTGAGGAGGGGGAATACAAACAGCACTGCCCACCCCAACCCCTCTCAGGTCCAGCTGGCAAAGAGCAGGTCTGACACGGTGGGGAACCCTTCTTCGTGACCATCTGGGGGGTTGTTTATCAGAGCTGAGTCCTACTCCCTGCCACCTCCCCAGGCTCCGTAGGGACGACAGCTGCCCGCTGCCCTCTGGTGGCTGCTGCGGGCACTGTGGGCTGGGAGGAGGCAGAGAGCGTCCCTGGGACTGGCAATCCTGCTGAGGAACAGCCTCTCAGAGCCTGGCTGAGGTGCCTCCTAGGGAAAGAGGAGGTCATTCCAATCACCCTGCTCAACACACGGAGTCCTAGGGTGCATGAGCCTTGTCCAGTGTGTCCCGTGTCCCTGAGCCAGGGGGCCTTTGGGATAGACAGACATGTCACTCACCACATGGAGTGGCCCAGGTACTCATCATAGTAGTAAAGCAGCTCAAAGGAGTCGATCTGAGGGTTAGAGGGGGACGTCGGTCCAGGGGGCTGTGCTGGGGCCCCAAACAGTGCCTTTAGCCACCCTCCTCCCACTCCCAGGGCTTCACCCCCAGGTGGGAGCCCCTCATGTGCCTAATAATGCAGCTTGGGGAAGGTGACAGTGCCCTCAGGTAGCAGCATGCTTTAGTAGGGCCAGGGCAGTGATGTGTTAAGGCAATTTCTTTAGTGTCTGAAGACAGACTGTGCTGACATACAGTCTGACATGTGGGGGAGTGGGAGGTGGCCTCACCAGGGTCTCAGGCTTGAGATTCTTGATGATGGGGTTCTCCCGGACAGACAGGTGGTGCTGGTAGCCACTGAAGAGCAGGCGGTGGTTGACAGAGTCGCCCACCAGGTGGATGCTGGCGCCCATGATGAAGGTGATGATGCTGATGTAGGTGATGGAGCGTGGCAGGGTGCGTGGGGACCGCTCGATGAGCTGAGGTTCAGAGTGAGGTCAACAGCATGACTCTGTGTGACTCTATCTCAGTGTGCCACTTTCTGCATCTCTCTTTTACCTGGCCTGGGCTGGAAATTGCCAGCTGGAAAGTCACTTCAAAATTGGTGGGTCCCTTTAGCAGGCCAGCCCAGCCTCCAGATTCTCACATGGTCACTGTGAACCCAGCAGGGGCGCTAGGAGTAGCACTTCCTTTTCCCCGGGAGGAAATAAAGGACACAACCATTGTCTCAGGTCATATCAGAGCCATGTGCTGGACTTGACAAGCAGGCCTTTAATGCTGGAGTCCAGGCTCCAGGCCCAGTCCTCCATCACCTCCAGCTGTGCCTCTGGGAAGCTGGGCTGGCCTGCGAAAGGGATCCCAGTTTCTGAGTGATTGGACTCTGGCAACCGTGAAGAAAACGTCTGGAATGGAAGCAGGTGCTTCTGAAATGACATTATTTCACTGAAAACACACCCCTGAATTTTGAGATCACAGCCTTCTACTTTTGAAGATTTGAAATATCTTTCTTCAAAACAAAATGATGGGGAGTAGGTGGGAGGTCCAGGTTGAGTGTACCTCCTTATTTGCAAAGCTTGGGACCAGAAGTGTTTTGGATTTTGTATTTTTTTCATACTTTGAAATATTTGCATATACATAATGAGATATGTTGGGGACGGAATACAGGTCTGAACACAAAATTCATTTATGTTTCATATATGCCTTATACAGATAGTATGATGGTAATTTTATAAAATATTTTAAATAATATTGTACGTCAAACAAAGTTGTGTTAAGTAGTTGTGTGTGGAATTTTCCACTTGTGGCATCATGTTGGTGCTCAAAAAATTTCAGAATTTGGAGCATGTCAGATTTTGGATTAGGGACACTCAGTGTATAATAGTTTTGAGAGCCCTATTTGACAAAGTGCAAAGCCAGAAGCCCTTGCTCTGGGCTCTTCGTGACATCTCCAAATCAGAGCTCTGCAGAGCATAGGATTGAGTTCAGCTCCCAGTGCTGCCTTTCTTTTCTTTCTTTTTCTTTTCTTTTCTTTTTTTTTTTTTTTTTTTTGAGACAGAGACTCACTTTGTTGCCCTGGGTAAAGTGTTGTGGGGTCATAGCTCAGAGCAACTTCAAACTCTTGGGCTTGAGTGATCCTCTTGCTCAGCCTCCCAAGTAGCTGGGACTACAGGCACCTGCCTGGCTACTTTTTTTGGCAGTTTTTGGCTGGGGCTGGGTTTGAACCCACCATGTCCAGCATATGGGGCCAGTACCCTACTCCTTTGAGTCACAGGCACCGCTCTGCCTGGCTACTTTTTTTAGAGACTGGGTCTTGTTCTTGCTCAGGCTGGTCTTGAACTCCTGAGCTAAGGCAATCCATGTGCCTCAGCATCCCATAGTGCTAGGATTACAGGCCTGAGCCACTGCGCCTGGCCCTCAGTGCTGCCTTTCCTTTGGGCTAGCCCCCACCTACCTTCCTAGGCCCCTGACCACTCTCTGGATCCTCTAATCACCTCCATCTCAGTCTCCCCAAATGTTTTCTGATTTTCCAAGCCCAACCTAGCCTTCAGATCCTTCTGCCTGAACCTCTCCCACTTTACCGGCTGCCACACCAGGGTGAGGCCCAAGCCAAATGCCCGTCCTAGGGGGAAGGGGCTTCTCTATCCCTCCTGGCTCTGCCTCCCCTGGGCCCCAAGCCCCTGACATACCCCTCTACCACAGCCTTTATCCCCTAGCAGTTAGGCAGGGGGATACCTGAGTCAGGGCCCAGGCCTTAGCACTGGTCTCCTGCCAGGCAGTTGGATGAATGGGGATGAAGGGTGTGGGGTAGATGACCTGACCCCTGGACTGTACCTTGAGCAGGAGAAAGGGTGTGATGACATTGTAGGCCATGTGGAAGTAGTCCCCCACGCTGGGCTTGTTGAGTGGAAACCATTCAAGAGGGAACACCAGCTGGGAAGCAAGGAGAGAACAGGATCACTTGGGCATAGCCCGTGAGGCCCTTGGGACCCTGCCCCACCCTTATCACTTACACTTAATTCTTGCTGTGATCTCTAGGGATCTTCCTGGCAGGCCTGGGATAAAGGTATTCTTGGACTGGGAAACTGAGTGTAAGTAAAGGTAAACCAACTTATCCCCCAGTCACACAGTAGATGTAAATCCAGGACCTGACCCTGTGCCCCTTGCCCAGTGGAATCTCCTTGGGTACTAGCCTGGGAGTCAGGAGGCTCTTTTGGGACTCAGTTATGCCACCAACTTGCTGGTGAACCCTGAGCTAGTTCTTCCCCTCTCTGGGCCTCAGTTTCACCATCTGTAACACGAGAGGTGGCCCAGGTAGTCTACTTAGAACCTTAGGGCTCTGGTACACCCAAGGCCTATCATGATGACAGTGTCTCCTGAGCACTAGGCCTTGGTGTGGAAAAATGCCCTATCCACTGTGTGGATGGACTGCTTCTAAATCAAGTGCAAGTATACATTAGGGGACAAAGTAGGAAATATGGGCTTTCTACAAAGTAGCTTCAATTCTTCCTCTTTACCTTCCCTAAGAGAGGAAGGTGGCCTGGCTAGGGGACAGTTCCCCCTTCTGTAACACCATCTCTCCCCTCTTGGTCTACCTCCAAGAGCTGGCCTTGTCCAGGCAAGTGTGAGAACCCCTATGCACGGTCAAAACATTTTACTAAACTGTACTTCTAGTGTCTGTTGATTGAAAACACATGTAATGACCAAAAGTTGCAGAGATTTAAATGGTAGTCTCTTTTAACTCAGGAATCCCATATTGGAAAAAACAAACTTGTAGAAATGAAACTCTCAGGACACAGAAATGTCAATCTCTCTCTCTCCGTGTTTGTGTGTGTGTGCACGTGTATCTTTACTTATATCAAGATATATATGTTAGCCAAAACACTCTGTGATGGCAAAATAGCAGAAACAGGCTGATTCTTCAATCAAACAGGACTAGTGAACACATTATAGTACTTCTCTCCTATGGAAGGTTAAGCAGCCATCAACAGAAGTGACACTATTTACTCCTTTCTTATTTTCAAGTCCCAGGCTGGACTTAAGCTCATGGGCTCAAACAATTCTTCTGCCTCAGCCTCCTGAGTTGTGGGCACCATAGGCATGAGCAACTACACCCAGCTTATGATATATTCTAGTGCAAAACAAGTAAGTTGCTGAGTAAGGTATAAAGTAAAATCTCACTTAGGTTAGAAAAAAAGAAAAATATGTATACATGTGTTTATATGAACAGAGAAAGGAGTGGAAGGATGTTCCCCCAGACTGTCAATAGTGAGAAGGGAAGGGCTAGGAAGAATCTAATTTTTTTTGGAGACAGAGTCTCACTCTGGCACCCTGGATAGAATGTCATGGTGTCACAGGTCACAGCAACTTCAAGCAACCCCAAGCAATCCTCTTGCTGGGATCCTCCCAAGTAGCTGGGACTACAGGCGCCTGCCACAATGCCTAGCTAGTGTTTCTATTTTTAGTAGAGATGAGGTCTCACTCTTGGTCAGGCTGGTCTCAAACTTATGAGTACTCCATCCACCTTGGCTTCCCAAAGTGCTAGGATTACAGGCACAAGTCACCATGCCTGGCTGAGAATTTAATTTTTATAACTTGTAAAAAGTTACAAATCTGAGGCTATAATGCGTGCATCTGAAAAGCTCCAGTGTATCCATGAGGTTTTCAAATGTATACTCCTAACAAGTCGATTTAGGGTCATAGTGGCCAAAGCAATTCTGGGGAGGATAAGGGAAGTGATTTACTAAACTGGAGACTCTATTAGGCCAGCTGCGGCTGAGCCCTAGTGACTGAGGAGAGCCATTAGCCCACTCCTGGCCTCCTCTCCCCCTCTCCCCAGAGGTTTACTTTAATGGAAGCTCCTCTGGCCCCCAATTAGTGGAAGCTTCATGCTGAAAGAGGGCTCAAAGATAAAGAGATGAAGCCCAGAGGACAGGGAGTTGTCCAAGCTCACCCACAAACCTGATCAGATGCCCTGATTCGTGGTTCAATCCGCCTTCTTTCCACATATTTATTTAGAAGACAGAATCTCACTTTGTCACCCTGCCACCCCCTAGTAGAGTGCTGTAGCGTCATAGCTCACAGCAACTTCAGACTTTTTGGCTCAAGTGATTCTCTTGCCTCAGCCTCCTGAGTAGCTGGGACTACAGGCACCAACCACAATGCCTGACTATTGTTTTTTTTTTCTTAACAGAGTCTCAAGCTGTTACCCTGGGTAGAGTGCCGTGGTGTCACAGCTCACAGCAACCTCCAACTCTTAGGCTTAAGCGATTCTCTTGCCTCAGCCTCCCAAGCAGCTGGGACTACAGGTGCCCACCACAACACCTGGCTATTTTCTTTTTTTGGTTATAGTTGTCATTGTTGTTTGGTAGGCCAGGGCTGGATTCGAACCACCAGCTTTGGTGTCTGTGGCTGGCGCCCTAGCCACTTAAGCTATAGGTGCTGAGCCAATGCCCAGCTATTTTTTATTTTTTTATTTTTATTATTATTTTTTTGAGACAGAGCCTCAA